GGGGGGTAGGGGGGGGAAGGTAAGACAAAAAGTAAAAAAAGGGAAGGAAAGATTAGGAGAAAGGGTAGATGAGGGTAGGAGAGGGAAAACAAGTAAAAAAGGGTAGGGAAGGAAAGAGAAAGCAAGGAAAAGGAAGAAATGTGAAGAAATAGGAAGGAATGGGGAAAAAGGTAGAAAAAAGGAAGAAAAAAAGTAAAGGGAGGCAAAAGAAGGAGAGGGAAGAAAATGAAGTTTTTACCTCCATCTAATAAATTGCTCAACGAATCCTGAATTGTTTCTGCTGTTGTTGATAAACTCCCTTATCTTCTCAACGTTAATTTTGAACCCGTTTTCAACAGAAAGGAAATCAGCCTCAAACAGGTAGACAAGCATTTTGTTTGCATATGAGCTTTTTATTCCAAACTTGAGTTTTAGGAATTCTTCGTCAGGTTCAACTCCAGGCAGAATGTGCTTGAACTCTTCCCTAAGTATGTAATTCAGGACCCTTCTAACCTGCAGTTTAAAGATGAATTTGGATTTTTCATCTTTGTTTTGTGCCTCCTGCTTCACAATATTCTGAATTTCTTTATTTCTGCATTTCTTTTTGGGTTTAGCAGCACAACCGCCGCAAATATGTTCAATGGACATGTCATCCATTGTAAAGCACTCCGCATGCGAATATCTCTTGCATTCAGTACATTTCACCATGCCATGATCGTACGTTTGTTTGCTGCATATGCAGAATATTGAGCCCTTTTGATTCTTTCCTGCATCTTTCTGACTGTTTTCTTTTCTTATTTTTATTTTGTCGTCAGGCGACACAGATCTATGTCGTTTCCTGTTCTCCTGAGCAGTTGAACTTCTCCAGCAGTTATCCTTCTTTTCTTCTTTCCTTGGATCTCTTTTTCTTCTTATGTCCATGTCCCTCTCAGATTTTGAAGAAGATGGAAAACCCTCCTTATAGTTTGAATCCTCTTTCCTCCTATAGCAATTTATCATTTTAGGGAAAAAAAGATTAAAGATTACCAATTAAGGATTGCAAATTAATGATAAAAGATTAAGGATTAAAAATTAAGGACTAAAAGATAAACGAATAACGATTAAAGATTAAGGATTAAAGATAAACGAATAACGATAAAAGATTAAGGATTAAGGATTGAAGATTAATTTCTTACTTTCCATGTTTGATTGTTGGACTTCTTCTCTGTTCTGTGTACCTATCTCCATAATCTTTCTCTCGTTTCCTATCCCTGTCTACTCTGTTGCGATTCCTGAATGATTACAGTTATAAATTCTTTCTTATATGATGTGTTTTTTTGTCGTTTTTGTTTTTGTAGGTGATTTTAATTAAGGATTACAGATTAATGATAACAGATTAAGGATTGCAGATTAATGTTAAAAGATTAAGGATTAAAGATAAACCATAACGATTAAAGATAAAAGATTAATGATTAATGATTAATGATTAATGATTAATGATTAATGATTGGCAGTAAATGAACAAAGACTGAGAAAAGAAGTTTTATCGTTCAAAAAGTAAATTCTTACTGTCCATGTTTGATTGTTGGACTTCTTCTCTGTTCTGTGTACCTATCTCCATAATCTTTCTCTCGTTTCTTATCCCTGTCTTCTCTGTTGCGATTCCTGAATGATTACAGTTATAAATTCTTTCTTATATGATGTGTTTTTTTTTGTCGTTTTTGTTTTTGAAGTTGATTTTAATTAAGGATTACAGATTAATGATAAAAGATTAAGGATTAAAGATATACACTAATAACGATTAAAGATTAAGGATTGAAGATAAATGATCAATGATTGGCAGTAAATGAACAAAGACTGAGAATAGAAGTTTTATCGTTCAAAAATTAAATTCTTACTTTCTATGTTTGATTGTTGGAGTTCTTCTCTGTTCTGTGTACCTATCTCCATAATCTTTCTCTCGTTTCTTACCCCTGTCTTCTCTGTTTCTATTTTTATCCAATTTACATCATTTAACATCACAAATCTAAATATTTCATACAGAACTATGCATGCTCATGTTCTCATCTTTATCTTAACCTTGAGAGAGCAACATTCCTCTTAGTGAGACCCATACTAATGTGGAAATTAAGCAACCTTATGCATATTTAATGTTGTTTTTAAGCAACACTTTTAAAAGTAGCATGAAAATAAATTAAGTAGGTAGAATGTGTCTGTGTACACTGCACAACTGCTGTTGTTCATGCTCATTGGACCATTCAAAATCATTACTTAAATCCAAATGACATCAAAATAATGCCATCGAAAATTTAGTCTTTTGAAGTTTTAATTTTGCTATTTTTTCCATCTAAATAGTTCACTAGAAGTAAAAAGATTTTGAACAAAAAAACGTTAAAAATGTGAAAAACCATTAAAAAAACGTTAAAAAATGTAAAAAACCATTGAAAAAAAGTCTAGAAAAAAAGTGATGTCAAATGATAGCAAAGTGATGTCAGTTAACATAATCGATTCAGCAGTGATGTCTCTTGTCTTGCGGGGCATTGTGTTCTGAAAAACTTAGATTTTTAATTTTTGGGAATTTGACCTTTTTGGTGTCCATGACGTTTCCCTTTCCTTTTCACTTTCTTCTTGTCTTTTCTTTTCCATTTATAGTATGGTTGATTATCAATTGAGAGAAAAGCTACTTTCGTAGTCTGCCCTAGAAATAATTTTCATCACCAGTCTGTAGACGGGTAAATACTATACATAAACATCCTAGCTCTAACTTGACTTAAGAAACTAGTAAGTTCAGGATCAAAAAGTTTTGCTTGTTTCCACATTGTAAAAAGTACCTAAAATTATCATTTAGGTTGGTTCGATGTCAAAAAAAGATATAGGATTAGAAGAAGACTTAACATCATAATTATTGAAGGTTGTTTAACATTGCCATTTATATAAATTAATGTTCTTTCAGAATTTATATGTACTAGGCTTTTAATTGTGGCTGTTAGCATCTTCTCCAAAACAAAAACAAACTAAAGTTTGCGAATTTTATAATTTTTACGCGCATTTTCAAAATTTTACAAAAATAAAAACGTTTATTGGATACAAACAAACCGACAGACAGACACCCAAGTGTATATATTGTTTTTTTTTTTTTTTCGCTATAAAAATATGCTCTGTTTCATATGATGTGCTCCATGTTAAAATCTACAATTATATCTATAATTCAAGACATAAATATATTTTTGTATTGAATTCTTGACTATGGAATCATAAAGATTGTCGTTTCTAGGGGTGCTAGCCCAAGACATGACGGAGAAAAGCACTTGCTACTTCAACCATTTTGAATCAGATTAGAATGGTTTCGCGGATTTTCTCTTTTGAGTTAGAACATTTATAACTCCACCCGCATATATTTATAGCAGAGAACATAAAACAAATCATATACTGATGTTGACAGCAACTGTATTTTTGGAGCATGGGGGGGGGGGGGGGGGGGGGGGGAAAATAAGTATATATTATTGATGTATCCAGTAAGACTAAGCCCAAAATTTAAGACAGGGATCGTTATGAAAACCAGTTTTAAAACCCGGGTTTCACAAATGGGGTTAGTTAGGCACTTTTGTCAATATCAATATTTTTGTAATGAAATATTATTTTTTTTCAGTTTGTTTATATTCTCCATTTTTTTTCGAATCTCTTAAATCAAAATCTACACAAATGTTAAGACCACAAAAAGGAACTCGGGAGTTTCGTTCAACGATACTCTTTTAAATTTCAGGCTCTGCGGTGGCCAGAGCAGTACACCTTAACATCTTGAGTAAAAGGTTTTCCTATATTTTCAATAAACAGCTAGCTTCTCTTTGTTTACTTGTAACTTGCAATTTGAAAAACAGAATTATTAATAAAAAGTCGTCTTTATTGTATTGATATAATACACAGGTGATTTTTGTATTGTTTTCTTAGTCTTACCTGGAGAATAGATTTAATACTAATAATAGGGAAAGAAAAGGTAAGAGGAAAAGGGAAAAAAGGGAAGGAAAGGTTAGGAGAAAGGGTAAAAAGGGTAGGAAAGGCCGGGAGGAAAACATAGTAAAGGGTAGGGAAGGAAAGAAAAAGGAAGGATTTGGAAGAAAAAGGATAAATGGGAAGGAACAGGAAGGAATGGGAAGGAAAAGGAAGAAAAAAGAAGAGAAGGGAAGGGAAGGAAAGGGTAGAAAAGAAGGAAAGGGAAGAAAATGAAGCTTTTTAACTCCATCTGGCGAACAGGCAAAAGAACAGCAACAGGATTGTTTTCCTACTCTACATTACTATCCAAATCTTGTTATATGTTGATATGTCGACATCTTTCAATCGACTGAATATTCAACTAGCTGACAAAATCTTGAATACAGATGACAAGTTTTAAATTGAAAATCCATTGAACACAAAGTTCTTCAAACCCCCCTGGCCAGCGGATTATATTTTTATCAAGGATTATAATCTACAAAATAATCTCAAATTTCCTACTATTGCCCATTCACACGTCACAACAACAAGACCTATTCACATGTCACGCAACAAATCAAATCATAAACATACATTACGGATTAACATTACACTAACCTGTATAAAGGAGACCACACTATTATCCTTCGCAAACTCTATCCACAGAGACAACAAACACTGCAGAGATATTGTAAATCCTATCCTTAGCAATACCTTTTAAAATACTTCTCAAATATTAAAAATCCAATATTACTAGTCGAAATGCAAAGGAATTGAGTCTTTTGCCACAAACTTAAATTTTCTAATTCTTATATCTTTGCAATATGAAAGCGTAAACATTTGATATTTCAAACTTAGATTATTTGATCTAACAGAATTCATAGTTTGAAATATCTAAGGTTTTAAAGATATAGTTATTAGAAAATAAGAGTTTGTGGCAAAGACTCAATTCCTTTACCACTTAAAAGTTAAATTTCGACAATCACGGTTTTATAATTCCCTTCTCTAATAATCAAAAGGCATTGTAATTAATTCTTCCGCCCAAAAGGCGTTGTAATTGAAATTACCCCCAAAATAACACACATTTCCGGACAGTATTTTTTAAGTTCAAATGCAACACAAAAAAAACCTTTATATAAAAATCCTTGAATTGCAAAAAAAAGAAGGAAAGAGAATAAAGAAAGGAAAGGGAAGAAAAAGAAGGAAAGGGAAGAAATGTGAAGGAACAGAAAGGAATGGGAAGGAAAAAGAAGTAAAGAGAAGAAAAGAATGAAAGGGAGGAATAAGAAGGAAAAGGAAGAAATGTGAAGGAACAGAAAGGAATGGGAAGGAAAAGGAAGAAAAAAGAAGAAAAGGGAGGAAAAAGAAGGAAAGGGAAGAAAATTAAGCTTTTCTACCTCCATCTTTAGAATTACCCCCCCAAAAATACTTATTTTTCCAGACATTGTTTTTTAAGCTAAAATCCTTGAACAGAAAAATACATTTTTTAAGTTTGTTTTTAAGTTTGTTTGCCCCAACCATCAAACTTAAAATTGGAAGTAAAATAGATATTCAAGTCAATTGATTGTACACAATTTTTAAAAGGTATTTTTAATTGAGAATATTATATTTGAGGTATATAGTCTTTTTCTTTTGAATAAATATACATATATGAATTTAGAAAAATCGAAAATATTTTTTATTTCGACCATTATATCGCCTTCCGCTGGATTAAACGTGATTTTTGGACATTTTTTAACTTTATTGGTTTTATTCCTTAAACTTCCGTAAAATCCCAAGATGATGACTGAGAATGATGTTTTATATAATTTTGTTAAAAGATAAAACCAACTATATTGGTATTTAAACTATTTTGTAAGGATAATTCAATCTAATAAAATTTACGAATTCCCGCAATCTTCCAAAAAAATTTCCTGTACGTACTACTTACTTGACCTACCAAAGTTAAGAAACAATGCTTTACTTATTTATTAAATACAATTTGGTGGTGATAAGTTGATAACAGAATAGAAAAGCTTCAAAAATACTTAATACACTAAAACTAAATAAATACCTTTCATGAACATAATAATACAATAATAAAAAGGCTAAGAGTCCAAAGGGGGGCAGGGAGGGGGAAAATTAAAGATATAAAATAAAATAACAGTTTACACTGAGGGAGATATCATTAAATTTCCGGCTGACAATTGGGTCACACACTGCTCTGGCGGTGGTCGAAGGGGCCTTTATATAGGGTTTGAAAGGGGGGGAAACGGGTGTTTGCGCTGGGGATAAAAAGGGAGGGGAGGCCTGCTTCGTAGGGGTAATTAGGGCCTTCTAGAAAAGGGGGGGGGGGCAAAAAGGGTATAGATACAAAGGGAGGGGAGGCCTAGTTCGTAGGGACAATTAAGTCCTTCAAGTAGGAGGGGTAGAAAGGGTATTGGTACAAGAAGGGGAAGGGGAAAAGACTCGGCTCGTAATTCTAAGAGGTAATTAGAGTAATTAACGTTAATACATCAGGCATTATTACAGCATAATTTTAGGACAATTTAAACGTGAATGACATCATTCTCTCAAATAAGATCAATTGAGGAGCTTGATTGGGCTTGGCTTGTGCTTTCATTAATCTAATTCAAGGTCTACGCCTTCATCAGTGTCGGTACTGGCCTCACTGTCACTAGTATCCTCGTCCTCAGATGGCGGGGAAAGAGGCTGAAATGAAATATATGTTTAGAATACATATATGTATATATATACAACTAAATCTGAAAGTTTGAAAGTAACAGTTTTATTAACAATTTTAGCGCCAAAATCATCGATTTTATTTATTCGCATTTGCACCTTAATAGCTAACCATTACAAATATAAAATAGTTGTTTGTTTTCTATATGCGCTATCCTTATTTTAAAATGTAAATACTTTTGGGGAAAATTAAAAAAAATTGTTGATTAATTAACAGTTTTTGAGTGTTCACAAAAAAATTGAGCCCATTCGGTCCAGCCGTTTGGCCGGCTATAGGGAACATATATGCGAATGTCTTGTTTTATTATATAGGAAGACGTAGTTTTTGACATGGAATGTTGTTTAATATCTTTTAGGAAACCCCAGGCACTATTTTAAAGAAGAAGTTTTAAAACTATTTTCTTTTTGAAAATGTGCAAATTTTTCTGCAAAGGAATTGCCACAAATTCTGATTTTTTTATCTCATATCTTTGCCACCCAATGTTAAAATTAAAAACATTAAATTTTTCAAACTATGAAATCTGTTAGATTAAATAATTTTAGTTTGAAATATCGATGGATTACACCACCACCATTAGTGTGCATCGATATAGGGATTCGAAAATTTGAGTTTTTGACAAAGGCGGAGCTTCATTCAGTAAATAAGCTCAAAATCCACTGCATCAGTAACTGAATCCTTCCTAAAACTGCCGGCTCAGGACCCCCCCCCCCCCCTCCCCAGAAATATTTGTTTTGTCACTTAATCCCCAAAAACACTTATATCGGATCCAATGTATTCGGTTCATAATAGTAGTGAACTTATCGTGAAAGAATTCCTATTATTACACAGGTTCTTTTTATTTCACATTTTTTTAAACCTCCCTGGCACACGATGAGCTGGCTTGAACAATGCACTGCTGGGGATGTGGGGCCTGGCATCCTCCCCCCCCCCCCAGTCTATACATATATTAAGCCCTACAGTCTTTACTCTTATATGGTTGATTGTGAATTAAAATTTTTTTTTTTTTTAGGAGGCGTTAGCTTCAACCGCTAGAAGGTGAATAAGCGCGCTTACGCGTGGAAAAATTGCACCCCCCTAGGCTAAGCCTCCAGTACGCCCCTGTTTACATTGAACTAATCTAAAGAAAAAGTGATAAAACATAAAACGGTAACGACACAAATCTCCGAAAGTGGCTGAAAAAAAAACTTGAAAAACATGGTCGGGTTTTTCAGAATTCAGTGAATTACTTTATAGTTGCAAAAGATATACAGGATGTCCCACGGAACATGACAGTTGGTGAATAGTTTAAAATGTCTTCTTCCATGATTTTTTAAGTAGTTGGATACCAAAGAGAATAATTAAAAATATTGTATGGGAGTCATCTTAAAGCAAAATTGATTTCAAATTTCAAATTAATTTGAGTAAAAGATTTTTTAACGAAATGTCAGGTGTCGTAGGACACACTGTAAGTTGCTAAATTAACGACATTTCAAGATTAAAAGAAAGAATTAAGACGACAATCATTTTACTAGAGTACTGAAAACTTGCAATAATATCCTTTATTTAGTAAAGACTCGTTAATATGTCGTCTTTGTTGAATTCGACCTTGTTAACTAATAAAACTGTATTGATCAAACAAAACAACTCCGCTGTAGTTAGAAGGAAAAAGGTTATACTGCAGTTTGTGATGAAATTACGCCAAAATCCAAATCTAGGATAAATATAGGTTAAAAATTTATATAAATAGTGATTTACAATTTTTATGTTTAAATGTCGTCTTCATCTTCTGTTATTCATTTGATTTAAATTGTAGGTTTAATGTTTAAAGTCGAAAAGATATACTTTTCGCGACGCAAATTAATTGTTGAAAAGCTTAGAAATTTGAATTTATTTTGTGAACTAGAATCAGGGTTTCAATAAAATGCCAGGCCTTGAAATTGGCACGACTGGGCTCGGTTGCCGGAGAAGGATCTCAGTTGGATCTAGAAGGTAATTCAAGATAGGGACAACTTAATCATGGAGTATACAAGGGAGGGGGAGCAGGGGGGCTAAATCCCTTCCTGAAATATGATTTTATTGGGATTTTTAGTTAGCCCTCTTATATTGAATGTCCACCTCATCATTCAAAATGGCTAGGACTATTTCAAGATAGGATTATTTATGACTAATATATAAGGAATAAATCAGTATAGTTCTATTTAAGATGGGACTAATTCAAGATAAGACTATTTTAGAATAGAACTAATTCAAGAAAAGACTAATTCATGATTGGACTAATTCAAGATAGGACTAATTCAAGATAGGACAAAATCAAGATAGGACTAATTCATTCAAGATAGAACTAATTCAAGAAAGGACTAATTCAAGATAGGAATAATTCAAGATAGGAATAGTTCAAGATAGGAATAATTCAAGATAGGAATAATTCAAGATAGGACTAATTCAAGATAGGAATAATTCAAGATAGGAATAATTCTAGATAGGACTAATTCAAGATAGGAACTGAAGATTGAAAATAGAAAAAATTTAAAAAAGGAAAAGATATGACTAATTTAAGATAGGACTAATCCAAGATAGAACAAACAAAATTAGAACTAATTCAAGATAGGACTAATTCAAGATAGGACTAATTCAAGATAGAACTAATTCAAGATAGGAATATATCAAGATAGGACTAATTCTAGATAGGACTAATTCAAGATAGGACTAATTCAAGATAGGACTAATTCAAGATAGGACTAATTCAAGATAGGATTAATTCAAGATAGGACTAATTCTAGATAGGACTAATTCAAGATAGGAACTGAAGATTGAAAATAGAAAAAATTTAAAAAAGGAAAAGATATGACTAATTTAAGATAGGACTAATCCAAGATAGAACAAACAAAATTAGAACTAATTCAAGATAGGACTAATACACGATAGGACTAATTCAAGATAGGACAATAGGACTAATTCAAGATGAAAATAGATCAAGATAGGACTAATACAAGATAAAACTAGATCAAGATAGGACTAACTCAAGATAGAACTTATTCAAGATAGGACAAATAGGACTAATTCAAGATAAAACTAGATCAAGATAGGACTAATTCAAGATAGAACTTATTCAAGAAAGGACTAATTCAAGATAGGACTAATTCAAGCAAGGACTAATGCACGATAGGACTAATTCAAAATAGGACAATTTCAAGATAGGACTATTTCAAGATAAAACTAGATCAAGATAGAACTTATTCAAGATAGAACTTATTTAAGATAAGACTAATTCAAGCAAGGACTGTATACTAGCACTACGGCGGGATGGGCTGCAAAACAATAAATAAGATTAACTATTTTCTATGTAACAACATCATATACACTTTGATATTAATAAAAAGTCGTCTTCCTATTCTAGAGTTTTCTGGTTATCACTTTAACATGAACTAAGTCTTCTGTAATAAATAATAGTGCAGAAGGACTGCATGCAATCTAATATAGGACCATTTATTATTTCTATTTTACTGTCGGCTCATAAATAAACCTAAAATGTGCATTGGCCATATATTAAAGTAAGCCACTCTGCCTTAATAATTTTTTACATATTGATATTTTTATGAAAATTAAACTAAAACAAATAATAAAATGGAATAAGAGTTTATGTAAAGAAAATGAAACTGTTGACTTTCAAAAAAAAAGGATGAAAGGATGAAAGGATGAAAGGCGAAGAAGATAAAAGGATGAAAGGATGAAAGGATGAAAGGCCAAGAAGATAAATGAATGAAAGGATGAATTGGTCAAGAAGATAAAAGGATGAAAGGATGAAAGGTCAAGAAGATAAAAGGATGAAAGGATGAATTGGTCAAGAAGATAAAAGGATGAAAGGTCAAGAAGATAAAAGGATGAAAAGATGAAAGGATAAAAGGATAAAAGGATAGAAGGATAAAAGGATGAAAGGATGAAAGAATGAAAGGATGAAATGATGAAAGGATAAAAGGATAAAAGGATGAAAGGATAAATGGATTAAAGGATAAAATGATAAAAGGATAAAAGGATACAGGATAGAAGGATAAAGGATAAAAGGATAGAAGGATAGAAGGATAAAAGGATAGAAGGATAGAAGGATGAGTAAAAAATAGTATTTAAATCTTTAGTTCTGTAATGTCTCCGGTGAGCTGATAAATGGATAAAAGGATAAAATGATAAAAGGATAAAGGATAGAAGGATAAAGGATAAAAGGATAGAAGGATAGAAGGATAGAAGGATAGAAGGATAAAAGGATAGAAGGATAGAAGGATGAGTAAAAAATAGTATTTAAATCTTTAGTTCTGTGATGTCTCCGGTGAGCTACTCTGGGAGTCAACACCACATCTCCGTCAAGGTATGTCAAATTTTTAACAGAATAGTGTGAATCACAAAGACGACTTTTAAACAAAAAATATACAGGTTGTCCCAAAAAACATGGCAGCAGCAAAACGACTTGAGGGGTTTTTTATCTTAGAACTAATTTACGGCATTCATTTGTCAGCCAAAGGAATTGAGTTTTTGCCACAAACTCGGATTTTCTAATTTCAATATCGTTGCAACCCAATGTCGTACACCATTAATATTTCAAAATATGAATGCTATTAGATCAAATAATGTAAGTTTGAAATATCAAAAGTTTACATCATAAGGTTGAAAAGATATAGGTTTTACCAAATAGGTTGTCAAGTACTTGACAACCTATTTGGGTTTTACAAAAACTGAATTTGTGGCAAAGACTCAATTCCTTTTAGAAGTAAAATTCTAGAGTAACTAGTTACAAAAGTCTTGCCATTTCTAAAATGTGGTCTGCTTTCAATATCACCAGGGATACAAAGAATTTTGTTCAGATGTCGACAAGTATGGTTTGGAATTGTGTCCAAAAATATGTATATTTGAGCTACTCTGATTCGTGGTATTTTTGATATTTATATTAGTTTATTATTTGTATGTTGAGTAAGTCTATACAACAGTATGAGCACTGGGATTAAACTGGGTTTTAGGGAAAAGGAAGGTTCTTAAACAGGCGGAAAAAAGTGGTTTTTACATAAGGTTTTTTTTAATTATTTAAATTTTACCGTTTTAAACTGTTGCTCTGTTTCAGAATCTTCTAAATCTGACTCATGTTTGTTAAAAACTAGCTGAAGGGCCCGGCATCGCCCGTGGGAAAAAAATTTTAAAAAATATTTAAAAGAAAAAATAAAAATTTTTTTTTTTTTGATTTTCTTTTAGCCAATAACATGATTGTACACAAAAAAATTTAGCCCAATCGGTCCAGCCGTTTGGCCGGCTATAGACAACATATATATATATACGAATGTCTTGTTTTATTATATAGATTGACCTAGTAATCCTTTTAGTTTGTATTGGTGTTTTTTTTTTTTTGCATCCTGAATTGGTTTTGAAATAAGGTTTTCGTTTGATGAGTTTTAATTTCCATTGAGTTGACAGGTTCAGGAGATATTGGATTAATATTTTGAAATTTTGCGGTCACTTGATCACATCTAGGGAGCTGTCATCTATTTCGTACAGGGAATCATTATCTGGTAAATTGAAACTTCCATGTTTACGGAGAATAGGAGAATAGGAGAATAGGAGGATAGGAGAATAGGAGAATAGGAGAATAGGAGAATAGGAGAATAGGAGAAAAGGAGAATAGGAGAATAGGAGAATAGGAGAATAGGAGAAAAGGAGAATAGGAGAATAGGAGAATAGGAGAATAGGAGAATAGGAGAATAGGAGAATAGGAGAATAGGAGAATAGGAGAATAGGATAATGATTTATATTTGAATTTTAAAATTTATTGATCAGTATTCTTCAAACTCAAAATGAGTGGGAGATGGAGACCTAAAAAGTAGCACTTTCGATTCAAAACTTTCCGCTCGAACTTAAATCTAAGTAACGATGAGGACTGTTTTGCTGTTCAGAAGTGGAGGCCAATTAAGTAATTGCGTCTAAAGTCCCATTTATAGTGTTTAGGTTTATTGTGTTTAAAACAAGAAAATGTAGAATTCCGCATAATCTCTAATAATTGTGGATAAAATAATAAGTGATGAGGACTTTTTTTCTGTTCAGAAGTGGAGGCCAATTAAGTAATTGCGTCTCAAGTCCCATTTATAGTGTTAAGGTTTATTGTGTTTAAAATAAGAAAATGTTGAATTCCGCATAATCTCTAATAATTGTGGATAAAATAATAAGCGATGAGGACTTTTATTCTGTTCAGAAGTGGAGGCCAATTAAGTAATTGCGTCTAAAGTCCCATTTATAGTGTTAAGGTTTATTGTGTTTAAAATAAGAAAATGTTGAATTCCGCTTAATCTCTAATAATTGTGGATAAAATAATAAAATGTTGTAACTAGGAGGAAATGTTGAGTTCCTCCTCTGATGATGAGGAAGAGGAAGAGGAGAATATGGGAGACATGAAACCTAACCCGGGAGGAGGAGCAGGTGGTGGAGGAGGAGGAGACCTTCCTCAGGAGTATTGGCAGGTACAAAACAGTTTACGGGAGAATTATAGGTTCTTGATCCAGATTTGGATTCAAGGGGTAAGATATTAACCAAAACCGAAAAAACCTTCTGCTCTTAAAACACAAATATTTTTTACAAAAAATCCTTTAGATTTCTATTTCTATTTCACAAAATTTCACGGTGATAGTGTTAAAAATGAGAGTAAAAAGCCAAAAAAAATAGAGGGGGGGGGCGCCGCCTCCCCCCAAGCCTGTTTAGGGATAATCGGCTATAGAAATAGTGCTAAATTCGTTTGCATTGAGTGTAAAAGTCGTACTCAACTTATATTCCTGAACAGTGAACACTCTGTTTGGCTCCTGATTGAAAATCTAAAAATCTATACATATAAAGTTGAGTTTGTGAGTTTTCTTATACATTCTTTATCATCCTTTAATTTTCGGGTTGAAGCCTAAGTGAAATAAATTTTTTACTTGGATTAAAAACACCAAACCCTTCATAAAGTTATTCGAAAATGTTTTTTTTTGTATTACAATTCCATGTACGTAAGAGTCTAATTTTTGAATTAGTACTTTTAAAAACTTGTAGTCGCTAAAATTTCAAATCTATCTATCTATCTATCTATCTATCTATCTATCTATCTATCTATCTATCTATCTATCTATCTATCTATCTATATATCTATCTATCTATCTATCGATCTATCTATCTATCTATCTATCTATCTATCTATCTATATATCTATCTATCTATCTATCTATCTATCTATCTATCTATCTATCTAGCTATCTATCTATATATCTATCTATCTATCTATCTATAGTTTTGGATTTAGTTTTTCTGTACGATATTTCCTGTCAAATCAAAAAAAAAATAGATAACTATTAAAGGTTTCACAGATTTTGATGTTTCCATTTGTAGATTTCTGATTTCTCAAAGGCAAATTATGTGAGCTAGTCCAGAAAATTGGACCGGATTGGATAGTTCCCGTTTTGACGAACCTATATACAGACATTTAAAAATATTGAGAAAGCTCAAACCAAGATTTACAGTCGTGTTTTTTTGAGAATCTTAATATTAGCTTTGATATCTCCAGGTTCAGAAACTGGTTCGTTATCTCATGGTTGGAAACCAGACAGCAACTATTATTTAAGCTTTGATATCTCCAGGTTCAGAAACTGGTTCGTTATCTCAAGGTTGGGAACCAGACTGCAACTATAATTGCACTCTGTAACATTGCAGATTTTGATCTGAAAGCTCAATATTGTCAGGTGAGAGAATATTTAAAATACAAATTAATCATCATAGTAAATAAACGGGAAAGTTTTCTATTCTATTATAAAAAATAGTGATCACTTATCAACGCCACGAACGCCAGAATTGATTATGATACTCATTAGTCTCGTTGCTTATTTTACAAAAAAAACATGTTTAATATACAAACAGTGAGAACCAGAAAACTCTGGAATTGGAAGACGACTTTTATACACACACTAAATAGTGCAATGAACATGAGACACAGCAGTTGTGCTGTGTAAACAGACCTATTTCACTTAATAAGTGATTTAATAAGTTACTAGTAAAACTATTCGCTTTGTAACAGCAATTCATTATTGCCTCATTGTCGTCTTCCTATTCCACAGTTTTCTGATTCTCAATGTAGAATATTCTTTTTAACTGTCTGGAGTTTTTTTATTTATGGGATTTTCATAAAAGTAATTATTAATTGGAAATCTGTTGTTGATTGGAGTGGTGGGGGGGGGGAGCATATAATTAGTAATTGATTATATATAAATGTAAATCATTAAAAGATATGCACACTACACTCAGACACAGTATAAATTTCATGAGAGTTGTACAATTTGTATTGTACAGTTCCGCAGTTTTAAAAATTGTGATATGCTAACCCATCCATCATATCCAGCCCCCCATCCCATTCATCCCATCGTTACCATTCAATCCATCCATCCCATCATATCTCATCCATTCAATCCAATTCCATCCATCTCATCCATCCTGTTTAACTCATCCATCCTATCCATCCTATTCACTATGTTTATCCCATCCATCCAAGCTATCCCATCCATCCCAGCTATCCCATCCATCCCAGCTATCCCATCCATCCCAGCTATCTGATCCATCCCATCCATCCTGTTTAACTCATCCATCCTATCCGTTCTATTCACTATGTTTATTCCTTCCATCCCAGGTATCCCATCCATCGCATCATATCTCATCAATCCCATCATATCCCATCCATCCCATCATATCTCATCCAATCTTATCCATTAATATCCATCCATCATGTTAAACAACTCCATCCCAGCTATTCCATTCATCTCATCCATCATATCTCTTATCATGTAAAACAGAAATTTATGAAAGAAAGTTTATGGTAATATCTGGAGTTTCCTGTTAAAAATATTTCTTGGTTTAAAGTTTCTGAAATATTAATCTATATTTTTATAAAGTCGTCTTCGTATATATCAATACAATGAAGACGACTTTATTTTTCAATTTATAAAGTCGTCTTCGTATGTATCAATACAATGAAGACGACTTCAATTTATAAAGTCGTCTTCGTATGTATCAATACAATGAAGACGACTTTATTTTTCAATTTATAAAGTCGTCTTCGTATGTATCAATACAATGAAGACGACCTTATTTTTCAATTTATAAAGTCGTCTTCGTATGTATCAATACAATGAAGACGACTTTATTTTTCAATTTATATTTCTACCAATCTTTCAAACAGCAACAACGCTTAAACATTTAAACCAAGAGAAGTTGTCAATTAACTGCTTCTCTTTATTTGAAAAAACGTTAATTACGGATCAAAGCATTAATAATAAAAAGTCGTCTTCTGTATATTGATATTTTTGCCGACCACCGTACATAATAATAACTGTTATATATTTAATTTTAGATGTCCATCATTGATGCTGGGGGACTTGAGGTATGTCTGTTTTCCTTGATTGAGTGGGATCCAGGAAACTGTGATATTGGGATATAACAGTTTCATGTTATTTTCAATTAAATATTTTTAACCAGTTTCTTGTAAATCAACTAATTAAGAGAATTGGGGTTGTGTTTATTGCAAATTTCTTCACTGTCCATTGGACTGTTTTAAAAATAAACTTGAGTTTAACATCTAACAGTCACATTAGAGTAAGACCATTCTACAGAAATAATCGCTGGGAGAAACAAGACAAATAATATGTTACTCTTTGAAAAGTTTAAAGAGAAAATCTGCAGGTGCTGGCCAACCTGCTGGAGACAGAGGACGTTAAGTGTCAGATTGGGAGTTTAAAGATACTCAAGGATATTGTTGTGCATCCTGATATAAGGAAATCTATCACTAAGATGGGAGGAATAGAACTAATGGTGAGTATTACCCTAGTCATCTTAAATGGGGAATGTTGATGAAAATTTAAGTGACCCGTTTTTAGAGATACATATCGGATTCACAATGGCATTCCTTGAACCGTCGTTTTAGCCAAAAATATGGGATTCCGAGTTATTTATCACTGCAAACCAAGTTGTACATGGTTTCACGCTAAAATCGAGCATTTTTTGCCAACTATTTAGGTAGAAGTAGAAACATGCATGTTGCAATTTTAAAATGAATATGTGAGTTGGTAAGGTAAAACCGAAGGCCAAGGCGATACGACACTTTAAAGTCGAGGCTGTCCATAAACTTTATGCTTATCTTTCTAGATATCAGTGTTTTCCATTCTAAAAATTGTTAATTATCATTTGTGGTGCTTTGTAAAAGTGACTTTCGAAATGTGCAGTAAAGACCAAGAAGAAAATTATTATTATCAGTATCAGTATATAATTAATAAAATCCAAGTTTAATTATATCTAGGATTAACAACTATCTTTTAATAGAGTTGTCTGAGAAACCATTAAAATAGATTTATAATTAAATAAATTTCTGGTTTAGATAGAGAGACAGTTACGGGTTTTATACAGAAATTTAATTGGATACTCTCTAGGTTAGATACTGGGTTCTAGGTAAGATACAGTGTTCTAGGTTAGATACAGGGTTCTAGGTTTGGTACAGTGTTCTAGGTTAGATACAGGGTTCTAGGTAAGATATATGGTTCTAGGTTAGATATATGGTTCTAGTATTAGATTCAGGGTTCCAGGTTAGATACAGGATTCTTGGTTAGATATAGGATTCTTGGTTAGATACAGGGTTCTAGGTTAGATACAGGATTCTTGGTTAGATACAAGGGTTTTAGGTTAGATACAGGGTTCTATTCTTGGTTAGATACAAGGGTTTTAGGTTAGATTCAGGGTTCCAGGTTAGATACAAGAGTTCTAAGTTAGATACAGGGTACTAGGTTAGATACAGGGTTCTAGGTTAGATATATGGTTCTAGGTTAGATATATGGTTCTAGTATTAGATACAGGGTTCCAGGTTAGATACAGGATTCTTGGTTAGATACAAGGGTTTTAGGTTAGATACAGGGGTTTAGGTTAGATACAGGGTTCTATAATAGATAGGATTGAAAACAAATTATAATAAAAGCTGGCATGAACGGTATGAAGTGCCATGAATTTCTGTTGCAAAATGTCTGTAAAGAAGAAGAAGATGGAGTAAGGAAACCAATTTGCAACCTCTACAAATATAATCTAGCGTGGAAGTGAAAGCTCTTCTATTCCTTACATTTACATATTTACTTGTCAATTTTCTAGACCTTGGCATCCGTTGCAAGCTTCAACCTGGAATATAAAACAGAAAACATCTGAAAATATTCTAAGGGTTGTAAATGTATTGGTATCCTTGATAGATAGAGTTAAAAAATTATTATATTATGCCAATAAGCAATATTTGACAGTACGGAATATATCATTAAATTCACCGATTTCTTTGCACTTGCTGAAAATCTGATTTTATCATCCTTAAATATTTGCAACCAAATCGTTTTTTAGAGGTATTTAAAGAGAACTTTACTTTACCAGGGGTTCCCAAGACCAGTTTTTCATGCAAGCATCCAGAGACCGGAATTAATGAATTTGAGCTAGGTCTAGTGACCGTTCAACCACGTGCCTTGAATCGGCTTTAGGTAGTTTAGCGATCTAGCTTAAATTCAAGACAATGGTCCATGACCGTTGGATAAATTGTTTGATGCAACCCGCTGTCAAGTAAAATTGTTGGTTCCCTAGATGCAGTTTTTCAAAATCTTTTAGTTTTTTGAGATGAAAATGTGAGTTTTTTTTCACGAAAACTTTCCCAAGGAACAGTTAAGTAACTTAACATCCCGCTGTTGGGATAATCATGGATTGGTAATGTTATGTAATGTATCATTCATAGGTCTATAACATCAGGTTGCAAAGAATATAAATGTTTTCAGTGTCTGAATTTTAGAAACCCGTTTTTGTTTTTAACAAAATGGCAATATTCACAGAAAGTATTTCTTAGGCCATTTATCAACAGTGAGATCTTATTCTTAATTTCAAACTTTTTTTCTTTCAAATTGGTAGCTTACTTTGAGCACGAATTTTTGGATAACAAATTTATTCAAAAATAAAACTCCTACCCCCCCCCTTGATGATTTGTCTTAAAATTGAGCTGAATTGTGTGTGGAAAAACTAGCTTTTTTGTTCCTTCTGATTGAGATTGGTTCTCCTTTTGATAAATCATTCACAGACTAGCTGGAAGAAAATCAATCTGAAAAAGGTTATTATTGCATCATATTGTATATAGAAATAAAATAACTTTTTAATCTTTAAATGTCTATTTTTTATATTTTGTAAATATTATTGATCGAATAATGTAGAAAAATGCAAAACGTTTCCACAGCGATGGAACTATTTTAGGTTAATACAATTTTTAAATATATCTGTATATGTTTGTTGACTTTAAAAGTCACTATAGTAAAATAAAGAGATCTAAAAATGGATATTTCTAACATTTATTTAAAACGAAAGTTTTGAAATATTTGCATATAAGACGGAGTTAAAATTGGTTGATTTAGAAATCAACAAAGGAATTAATGATGAATATTTGATGGTACTTCATGGGAGTGTTGTAGAGCTTCATGTTGGTGGAGCCAGATCGACAGGAACTGGGACAACGGCTTATCAAAATCAGTAGGAAGAGATTGCGGCTTGTCATGCTGGCTATGAGCGATTATGTTGTCTCTGGAATGCATGATGAACTGGGAACCCTCGGGTATAAGCATGCCTGCTGCTAGCTGAGTATCTGCGTCATCATCATGAAGGAGTCAAGAGGCTCCCTGTGTCGGAGCTGTTATTAGCTCAACTCTCCTAACCTGACTGAGGGCTGGGATGTGTAGAGGGGTGAGGGGGGAACAAAGAAGCGAGGGTTACATGTGGGCGCTTCATGTCGGAAATAGATACACACGTCTTGAAAATAGTCATTGGCATTTGAGTCGGTAAAATCGTCTTCCTTATATTTCGAATTTGTGTTAACAATGTTATAATGTTTTATTTTATTTCGTACAAAATGCAAAAAATCTTATGATCATAAGATTTAAGAAAAGATATTATCCAGTTTGAAATAATAATAAAATATGAATACAAAGAGCCAATAACAACGTTTATTATTTTCATTTCATAACTGTTTGAAAGCAGCATCAACACAAAATTAGAAACTAATTAAAGAATATTGTAAACTTTATTGAAAAAAGTTAGTATTAAGTATAGTTTACAACCCGCACTTTTGTATGCCGAGTCCATTAGCGCCTGATCCAATCAGGGTTTAGTCATGTGTTTGGTGCCTATTCTGAACCAATAGAGATAGTATGGCGGTAACATCTATCTTTCTATCTATCTCATTATCCAATTAGAGATATGAATCCTTCAACTGGCGCTATCAGGAAATGGATTTTTTTTTTTTTACTTCTACTAAAACTTTAATGCCGGTATCCCTTATCCTGTATGTTAATACACCCAGTATTCATCCTTTATCCTGTAGTTTCTGAACCTGTCCTGTACATCAGAACTGATTCGGTTCATCAGATCAAATCTGAGAATAAAAACTTTTTCAATTTCTTCTGTAGAAAAGTTTGTTCTTTTTCTATAATTTTACAATGGCAATGCTAAAATCCCCCTTTTCCAATTTCAGCAGTTCAGGAGAATATCTATAATAAAGTCATCAAAAAAAAACTTTAAACAAGCTCAAGAAATCCCTGTACATGTAGACTGTACATTGTACGTAAGTTGTACAGTTACATAAACAAAAGTAACAATTCAGAACTCCCAATTATTTCACCGCTCTTACTCATGTAACACCTAAAAAGGTCATAAAGAAATTAACTCTTGAAATAACCAAACTTTGATCTATTTTGTAAAATATTAAATAGATTTTTACTAAAAAAGAGTTTTGTTCTATTTGTGTATCAAAACACAAAGTTTTTTCAAAAAATATGTTTTGGCACAAGAAAACCAATTGAACTATTCCTATCTTTCTTTTCTTTTAGGTAAAATGTTGTTCTTCAAATCTAAAAGAGCTCTAGCCGATTCTCTAATATTGATATGAAAACCATTAAACCCAATTTTATCAGTCTTCTAAATTGGTCAACGTTTTTTCTATATTTCTCAAAAAGAGGCTAAAAATCTTAAGATTTATGAACTTAAAGTCCTCTTTCACAGAGCTTTAAAATACTACCTCCCCCCCCGCCTGATCACTGCTGAGGGGGTGGATCTTTGAAAATAAAAATTAGTTTAACGTGATAAGTGAGCTCCTTTCAAATTTTATTCCTGGAAACCTTACTGTGCACAGTTGCAGTAGGATGTAGTCATAGATTAATAACAATACAGATAGAACACTAGATGTCTTTTCAAGGTTTAGGAATTTTTCATTCACAATAACCCTGAGGAAGAAACCCAAAGGAGTTACGCGGATGCTCTCTCTCTTGTCATTCAACGCAGCATCCACGTAACTCCTTTGGGCTTCTGTTTAAGGATAATTGTGAACGAAAAACCCTTAAATCTTGAAAAGACAACATCTAGTGCTCTATCTGTATTGTTATTAATCTATGGATGTAGTAAACTGGATCATATTATTTTATTATAACACTCACATTTCTCAAGATATTGGAAATATAGAAAATAAACTTAGTTGAAACAGGTTCACTAGCAAAGGATGAAATTTTACTGACGACCTAGAATTCTTTCAATTTACAATTACTTGAAGGATGAACTTATCGACCTTCAATATGAGATTTGTTTAAGCAGGAAAAAAATACTTATAAATGTGAAAAAAATCTGAATTCATTTTTTACAGTCGTCTATAAAGTCCCATCCTTTGTGGGTAACCCTGTATTTCTGGTTTATATCCTAGCAGGCCTGGGTTACAGGCAACAAAAAATTCATAACCTTGGTTAGACGATAACATTGGATTTAAAAGGCGAAATTTATTTATTTTGATTGATGTAATGCAGTTAAAGTTGAAGACCGATAATTTTGTTTCAGGGGTAAATCAGTTTTTATAGTTTTTTCTTTGACAAATTCCTAAACGAAAAACACGCATTTTGTTCCTTCATAACAAAATTACAAATTGCCTATCAATGCTTTTTGAAATGAAAATGGAGTAAGTGGCATTTTTTTTCAAAAACTGCGGATTTTGCGGAAACAATTTTTTTATGCAAACATTTTTTTTATCTGTGGAAGGAAGTGTAAACTGATTCTAAAAAAGTTTTATCAGTGATATTTACCGCTAAACTTCTGTTCTATAACTCTAAAAGAGCGTTATATTTATATACAAATGTTCTTGTTATCTATTTGTATTTACGCTAAGCAGACCTAGTTTAGATATCCAGGTTTAGTTTGTATTATTCAACCCTTGAGATTATTGTTGCACCATCTGTAGAATATTGCATCCGCCCAGTACAAAGTTTACAATAAACATACAATATGGAACACAACAAACCAGAACTTGAATTCATTATTTCACTTTATGCAAGCATATATTTACTTTTTGCTGGACAGTGTACATTAAGAGTGATTGAGTTGTAACTTTTTTTAGAAATCATCCTACCGCATAAAAAATAATGCAATTAATAAAAAAACATTCTAAATCGTCCATACGGTTGCGAATTGACGATTTAATATCGGAGAAATCGTCGTATAGGTCTCAAAATTCGTGAACTCAAAACTGAAAAGCGCATTAAAAAAATGAATGAGTTAGAGCTAAAGAACTCATCAAAAACATTAAAAAGTTAAAATACAGACTTGTGGACCGTTATTCGGCTATATCTTCTTTAATTTTTAATTTTTTTTACACTTTTTTGACACTTTAAAAAAAAACCCCATTATGGTTTTGCAAGGTGTAGTAGACAAATTGAGACCAAACATTAAAGGGAGTGACCGGCTATGTAAGGTAGTTGAACTGAGTATACAGTTTTGTGGAAAAAAACTTTTGGATTCATTTGAGACATATAAAACGTTTTAAAGATCTGTAAATCCTGAGTTTGACTGCAACTTCAACTTCAAAACTCCTACTTTGGGGGTGGATACGTTTTCAGAATTAGTTTTTTTTAAATTATTAAATAACGACAACGAAAAATAAAATAAAAATTATACAGTAATCTAATTAGATGGTTAGGAACATATTTATCAAAAGAATTTGTCTATAAATCAATGCTAAAATTGATTAATTCGTTTTCATTATTGTATTGAGTTTCTAAATTTCTTTGAATTTATTCGCAGATTTCTTAAAATTCTTTTAATGTAGTCTTTTCAATAATAATTCTAGAAAATCTGCAGAAAATCTTTGCGAATGACGAGAAGTCAGAATAATGAGAAAATATAAACTAATAATTGAAAAGATTACTTATTTTCGATGATAAGATTAATTTTTATTTTCTCAACATTGTTTATTGTAGAACTTTTTTACATTTTATGTCGTCGTTATTTAACATAGCCGGTCACTCCCTTTAAGACTTATAAAAACAAAGAAAAATTCTATTCCGATAGATAAGTATGAAAAGTACTTTGCATCAGTTTGATTGTTTGGTTTTAAACTTTATCTTGTATTACAAGAAGTTTAATTAAAGCATTTCAACAACATTTAGAGGGAG